TTTTGACAAACCGTGTTCCGTTCTCTTGGAACACGATTGAAGATGTCCACTTCTGACTATCCAGAAACAGATGGTCAGACGGAACGTGCGAACCGTGTCCTCGAAGAGATTCTTCGAGGATATGTCCACTTGTTTCCGAGTTGGAGCGAATTCCTACCCATGGTGAAATTCGCCATCAATAATTCGGTGCATGCTTCCACACAGCACACACCGTTTTACGTGAATGGCCTACGCCATCCACGAGTGCCCACCCTTATAGAGTGTGACTTTTGGATAAGGGGGGGAGGGACTCGCTCGAGAAAAAACCGTTTTGGCTCTTGCTCATCACGTGTCGACGCTAACGTCGTCACGTATGATGCCGATGTCGATCAAGTCGACATCGATGACGAAGATCATCTCAATAATAGCGATGACGCTATTATTGATTCGGATGATGATGACGATGCTGGTATATTCAGCATCGCCAACGATTATGTCAGCGAGGAAGAAGACAACCTCGCTGAAGAAGAGAGCAATCTCTTAGCATTGCGCACGAAGCGCACTGAAAGACAAAACAACGAGTCAGCAGAGAACTTCCTGCTGACTCGAAAGGCGGTAGTCCGTTTCGTTCAGGACTCCATCGCAAACGCGGTGGACCGCCAGAAACGAAACGCAGACAAGAATGGAAGAGCAAATGTTCTTTCATTTAAGGTTAACGACCTAGTACTACTGTATACGGTAAACTTACCTGGACATGCAGTCACTAGTGTCGGCAGTAGTAAACTACTGCCGAAATACGTTGGGCCATTTCGAGTGTTGCATCGCAAGGGCAACGCATACACACTCAAATTGCCACGTAGGATGCGCACGCATCCTACGTTATACGTGGGGAGGCTCAAGCTGTACTGTCAGTACGAGCCTTCTTCTTCCGATGAAGATAGCCCCCACGTTCAAGAACATCCATCAAGTTCTTGCGCTCGCGCTCCATACGATCCGTCTGGTTGCGCGGATATGATACCTCGGATCTCAACCGAGATATATCCGCGCGAGCTGTCGCTAACTCGCCGTAAAGGGAGCGGGCATCCCGCTCGACCTGAAGCTGCGCTGTGGCATAATCGGCGTGATCTCTCGCCCGATCAGCCTCGTGACCCTTGCGGTTCTTCCGCACGGTAACAGTCAAAGCGTAGCGCCGGTCGCGCTCGTGCTTCAAGTCATCGCGCAATTCATCGATTGCGCGATCCATCTCGTAAGGGTCGAGATGGTGAGCAGAATCATCTGGAGGAGGTCTTTCCTCCTCCACTACATCATTTGGTGGATGCTCACGGTGATCAACGCTTTCTAGTGGAGCGTATCTTGAACCACCGTGACGATTCAGGATCAAGGACGAGCTACCTCGTCCAGTGGCGGGGGTATCCACCCTCTTGGAACAGCTGGGAGCTCCGCTCTCAGCTGTTGATGGATGTTGAAGGTCCCATCCGCCAGTATGACGAGACCCATCCGATTGGCCCTGTGGCCCATCGGTAAACACGCACCCCAGGCGCTTGTAGACGGATTGCAAATTTGCAATCGCGTCACGCATCTCACTCGAGATGTGTACCCTTCCCCAGGGCGAACGTAGGGAGTACACATCCCTATGTGCACGCTGCGAGTTGTCAACACAACTCGCACAAGGGTCTCCCCATGTGAGGCAAGGAATGCCTGCCTCACTCGATAAACAGTGCAACCGGTACCGAGCACCGGTTGGCGTTCGCCTTTCGAACCTGAGGCTTGTCGCCTCAAGTTTCTTGAGCCACCCTTCTCGTCCAAAATTCTTTACGTTTTGGACGAACGCGTTCCACGCAGCCAAAAGTGAGGCCTTGTCACGCTTTTGGTTGCCGTTGTACCATCGATGTCTAAGGAAGACATCGAGATTAAATTCTTCCTCAGCGCGAAAGTTACTCGCGCTGGGATCCAAGCCGTGAAGCTCAGTCGCATCGAATAAGGGTTTTCGATGGTGTTGGCTTGTCTCGTGAGACAAGGCATTGATGAGCCGTTCAGGCAAACGCCACGGCTTCAGCTCATCACGCTTCACAGTGGTACCCTTGTCGGTACCACGGTAGTCAGTATGACGATGGGTTGCACCATCGTCAAGTCGCTCGTGCGAAGGAGCACGAGTTGATCGCGGTGATGAGCAATCATACCCATCATCAGACTCATCATCACTGCCGAACAGACTGTGACACATGCCACGAGTCCGTACGTCCGGCAGTGTCGTGGATGAATGAGGAACCGCAGGTGAACGCGATACCTCCAAAGGCTTTTCTGAGTCAGACACGTCTGACTCGCCAGAGTAGATGACGTCAATGTCGGGGTCATCATGCGCACGCGGTGTGGTACCGCGTGCACCTGCAGCACCTGTTGCTGCAGGCGAAGAAGGAGCAGCAGACGACGAATCGTCTGCCGCAGAGTCTGGCACAGCACCGGGCTGTGCGGCTCTTGAGTCACCTCGCATAGACATGTTAACTATGCGAGGTCAAGCGGAAAGTGAGTGGAACGGACCAAACAAGTGCTCCCTGTCCCAATGGTGGCCAACGGGTGGCCGCCATATTTTCGATAGTCACACGGTGACTATCAGCTAAGGGGGATGATGTAACGGGGCAGCCCGTTACATGGAAAATGTCGTTTGAAGAGATAATGACAATAAAGAATATAAAGATGGATATTCTTTCAACAATATCACCAAAGTGGTGATATTGATGGGTCGACATAAGAGTCTGTTCATTGGTTGATATCGTGATGATATCAACCCACCAATCGCCGCAAGACGCGCGCAATGAGTGGTGACGATACGTCACTATACACTCAGTTATATTAGTATAGTTAAGCTAAGTCAAACAGAGAGACAGTGGTTAAAGACTTAATTATATTAATATAACAGTTCTACTTCTACCTTATCTACGCTTCCTCGTTTGGATCGTGTACGTCTATCGGGCGCACTAAAATGTTGGAAGTGCAAGTTGCACTTGGGTCGACTCCAGAGATTTAACCTACACTAGGGCATATATGGAATATTCTACAAGGTTCTATGTGTTGTATTAGGCAGCACAAAGATATAGGTTGGGTAGTTCTCACTTGTATTTTGACAAGCCACTGACGAGGCCCCTGGCGGGGGGCCGAAACGCGTCTGGCGCGCATTTTTATACAGGTCACTTCATTTACTAAATGTTCTCTTTCTAATACAAAACCCTTGCGTTAATCTCACGCAAGGGTGTGCACCGTTACATTGAGTATCAGTCGCCACCCAGGTGCGCGCAACTAACAGCGCTAGGTGGCGTATTCGGTTGGTATCATGGCCTATATTACCGAATCGTGAAGCAGTGCCAAATTGTACCTCTAAAGGTAATATTCCTGCGAGATTGACCCGTGAAAGTAGCATCAAAAGATAATATCAATTCAGATAATATAAAAAATGAAAATAGTCGTGCCAATGACATTCAATATGATCCCCCGCTACATGATTATCTTGTGGATCTCAAGATATCAAGTGCATGTGCGGACGCATGCAGTAGTAACAACGCTCTCCGTTCGAATAAACTCTGAAGAATAACTTGGGCCATGAATGCGAATGTAGCGAATGAGCCCAGGTAAAGTAACGCAAGGTCTACGTATCTCGTCAACTGCAGCTTGCATTAGTAATACAGCTAACGTTGATGCCATTGTGAGCGTTCGTCAAGACGTATCGAAGGCGTCAGTACCGAACGGCCAAACAATTATATTTGAGAGTGATCCTCTTGCTACGAATCGATTGAGGCTCAAGTCGACAAAGCTTTCGTGATGGAGCTTAGTGGCCATTATGGTAAAATTGACGCTTTACACAAGCGGTATTGTTGCTGAACGCGAGAAGTTATGCTGGCAACAGGTGCAATTGATTTATCTAGATCACAGACTGGTCGAGGAAGCTCGCACAAGGGCAAACGGCTTGTTTGCTCCTTACCAAGGCGCTGGTGCGACGAACGTGTGCTTGCATCAGCTAAACGTACCGTTCATCAACGTTTGTTCCTTTTTGCCATCTTGTCTAGCCTAAAAGCAGCTTAGGTTGGTCGAATTGATCTGCATGGCCTTCTCTCAATACAATTTCCAGAATACTCATCTTGACAGCTTGCGTTTGATACGAATGGACTCTGTCCATAAAAATTAAGATCTGAGCAAATTGTATTATCTTCAGACCCAAATGTCCGATCTGACAGTAATACAGCTATATTACAGCGTCTCCTAGCTCGCAATTTGTCGAAAGGACGCAAAATAAAGCGAAGCTACTATTGCTCTGTGCCAGAGGAAGGTTTTTTTGCCTAAAGAGCAATTTAGTTCTGTGATGAAACGCGACTCTGTGAGTCAACAAGATCAAAAGATCAGGGTCATTGTTCTAGAGACGTGACAAATCAACGAATCAGCGAATCAACAGCACAAAGTGCTCCTAATCTACGCATAAACAAGGCTTGACTTTCTTACAAGACCTGAGACGCCTTAACAATGCACGTGTTTTAAACTGATCAAAAGGGAAAGTGAACTCTATTTTGTTTGTATGTGAAAGGACACGTTAGTCTAGACGTACCTAATTTAAATACTAATAAATAAATTAGTACCCTTTTAGTTGTCTTATCTGGTGGCTGACACACGTCAGCCCCCAACAACCGATAAGGTGTTCTAATAGCACTGTCAATGGAATATCATCCCTGGTGTGAGCAACACCTGTTACATCGGTTATCAACCGTCGCGTAATCACCATCTCACATAATGCAGAGATATAGTGAAAGTCCTTCGTTCACACGCTTCTCATGCTACTTCTTAGCTTACGAGAGTCGTTACGACGAATGGATAGAATGTATCGTCGCTCATACTGCAACATCAGTAGCTACTTCAGCAACTTACTACCACGTCGATGGCCCACCTTCGTTCAACTCTACGCCTCCGTGTTCGCGGAACGCAGATTCGCTGAGCTCGCCAATTCATGGTTTCGGTATGGCTTGACCTCTTGTTGAGCTTTACGCAGCGTTTTGGCACGCTCCTTTTCTACCTTTCTTGTCTTGACCTTTTTCAATAAAGGCGTCTATCTCATTTGGACTTTTGTTTTTATACAAATAACTCGCCACCGCACCTTCATCGTTCATCGCATTGTTTTTTCCGTTTGTCATCAACAGCTCATTGAATTTCAACCACGCAATGCCAGAGTCTGGATTGTCACGAAGTGCCATAAACTTACCCAAGCCGAGGAGCTCGTGCAGGTTTTTTGGGTCCAATTCCAACGCAAGCCACGCCTCATCTAACATATCTGGGTGGTCTCTATAGCGGCTAGCTAGCAACCTCTGCAGCATCTCGCTCGTGCCGGAAGTAGTTCGCCCTTGAATCGAGATTAGTTTCTTCACCACATCCGTGACGCTATGGTGGTCCGTGAATACCTTCACTACCTGTTTATGGAAGTGGACGCCATCATTTGGATGTATAAACTGGCGATCCATTGACACCCGGTTTGCGATGTCATCGGGATTTACGTCTCCCTTGTGGAGGCCGAGACGTGTGTACTTGCTCCCGATGCCATAATGGCGAATGCGCGTCGCTACCCTGTCTTTGGCCATGAGCACTGGCTCAACCACATATAAGATGGCACCTACAACACTCGCCCGCTCCCCTTGTTCGTGGTCTTTACGGCCGGTCATGTCTCCCAACAGACCGCCCGACTTCGTTGGTCGTGAGCAACGGGCGCGGTGGGTCCGCAGCTGCGTCATTTGCCTGTAAGAGGCTGTCCCGGTCGACCGTGTTCTTGTGAGGGTCTGACATTGCGCTTGAGCTTAGAGTACCAACATTTGCTCTGCTACCATCAGTAGGCGGAGCAGCACGTCCCACGAAAAAGATGCTGAAAGCCGTGATAACAAGGCAGAGCGTGCGCATGTGATGGTGTGCGACGCTGTCAGCAGATTTCGAAGTAAGCAACAACTGCGGCAATTCCCTCTGTACGTATTGCCTCACTTCTAGCCCAGTAGGAAGCGCTCGTCGCGTGATACAACAACCCTTCAAGTCCTTATTAGAATGTCAAATGGGCAATTTAACTCAAGCTCGGTTGATTGTTCCAAGGAAAATGGGTGACCCACAGACGCTATCTCTTCCTTGCGGTGGTTTTAAGTGGCAATGCGCATATCGATCCTGATCTCCCATCCCGGTAGACCTGTCGCGTACGCAAAACCGGGTCAGAATTTTCGTACGGACCGACCTACACATACCGCGAACATTTTTGTAAGTCAAAGGATCGAGATTCGCGAAAGAGCGTCGCCGTCCCTTGATCAGTGGGAAGACTGTTTCTTCTTACTAAGCTGAACAGGAGCTAATAAACAGCCGATTTGCCAAGTCTTGATGCTCAGGGAGCGAATCTTAGTTGGATCTTCACGAACGGCGAGATCGAAGCGTTTACTTAATCGTCGACACCTGTACTGCCACATTAGCTTGCTTGCTATAAGGTTCTTGTACGCAGATTACTAGGTTTATGAGTGAACCTGAACGTCATTTAAGTGCTTATGACTATACGATATCGGTGTGCTTCTACCTGGACTACACTTTACTCCTCCTCGCTGGCTCAGTCTGCTTGGCTCGATACTGCGGGCATCACGGGGGACGCTCAACAGAGGGCACGTGGAAACGGGTATCCAGTCCTGGGGGCAGACAGGGCGCGAAAATCGCAGAAAACGCCGGGTACCAAACCGATCACCCCGATAGGCCGCTAATGCACCTGGACGGTTCCGATCAGATCACATTCTAGGCAAGTTCGCTTCGTGGGACCGAGATTCGCGCTCGGCGACCGGACCGGCGACTTGGAAGCTGACGTAGAATAGCAGGAACTAGGTGGGGGTGACAACAGCTGTCGCCGTGCCCCACACCCCGGGGTCTCTGGGTTGTTGCTCTCCTTTCGGTGTGCACGCTACGCTGCCTCCCCGTGGCGCACGCAGCGGGAAGATAACCTCCTCCTCACGACCTGAGCCCCCCAGCGGAGGACTTCCTGCCCAGGACAAGAGGACCGGTATACCGGCTCTTGGAGGTCGTCGTCGCTTGGCCCTGTTGCCCGAAGGCGCAAATTGGGAAGTGATTACTAGGTTTATGAATGCGACGTATCGCGGCTGTGTTTACGAGACCTCATGTCACCTACACATATGTCGGGACTGTCAGAAGTGCACGCCTATCGTTGATTGCGGCGATGTGTTCTGCATATTCAGATGCTGCAGCTCCGCGTTAACTACTGACAAGATGCCACATTTTCTCTATCGTCCGCGGCGAAGGACTTCTCAACACAGCGTTGGCCCCTGCCGGGTCTTATCTGCTTTCCGCTATGTACAATGCGCGTACACAAGAGCGACGTGCCATGCAATATACAGTTGCCGGAGTATAGAGCCCACAAAATGATGCTTGGCCGAAAAGCAAAAACAATGAAGCATCAAACCTTTGTCAACTATCTCCTTACGGTCTTCTTCATTTTCTAGTTGCAATCGATTCACGCCAATCAACTCTTCCCCACAACGGAACACTACCCGGAACCGGCACAGAACGCCTAGTCCCTCGGTCAGTGTGACAAACCCAAGCTTTTCTCTTGCGACCTCGTACTCGTCCTTATCTCCTGTGCGAAAAACACAGAATGAGGTGCGATAGCACACCGAGACAGGTTACAAGTCCTCGTCCTCATCCGGAAGAGGAACTGCAGCGGCGGCAGAGCTAGCGTCGGCTTCAATTTGAGCAATCTGTTCCTGGGTAATCGTGACCTCGGGTGGACGAAGAGCAGGTGCCTCGACAAAGGTCAGGTTGTTGTCCCTACAGCAACAAACGTTGTCAGTAACATTACGGTAGACAGCCATCATTGGCCACAAAGAATACATACCCGACAAGCTTGCGGGCCAGCCATAGGAACGGCTTTTCAAACTGGTAGTTAGATTTGGCCGAAATGTCAAAGTACTGCAGATTCTTCTTGCGGTGGAACGTGATCTGTTTGGCCTTCACCTTTCGGTCCTTGACCTCGACCTTGTTGCCACACAGCACAATTGGAATGTTCTCGCACACGCGGAACAAGTCTCGGTGCCAGTTCGGGACGTTCTTGTACGTGATACGCGACGTCACGTCAAACATGATGATCGCGCATTGCCCCTGGATGTAGTAGCCATCGCGCAAGCCACCAAACTTCTCCTGGCCGGCTGTGTCCCAGCAGTTGAAGCGGATGGGGCCAAAGTTTGTGTGGAACGTCAGCGGGTGCACTTCCACGCCGAGTGTCGCCACATACTTCTTCTCGAACTCTCCCGTCAAGTGGCGCTTCACGAACGTGGTCTTACCCACACCGCCGTCACCTACGAGAATGAGCTTAAATTCCGGAACGTTCTGAGCCTGTAAACAAGAGCAAGATCCAACAACACGTCCAAGTCAGTCAGCCTTTGATTGCCACTATTTGTTCGCTAAGCACTCGCTCGCCACTGCACAACACCCCGAGAGTGTCCCGTTCCAATCGTCTCTCGACGTCTGTGCCCGCCCGCGTTCACATGGTCGACTCATTGCTACCGCCTATACTGATAGGTACTCCAACGGCTGCCCTAAGGTCGAGACCGAGTTGTTTTCAGTGAACAGCTCACGGCGCGTTCGACCCCGAGACAAATCGCACGGGAAAGCACGAGGGGCCAGGGGCTGCACGGAGCGAGCCGCCGCGTCGTGCTCAGCTCTGCGGCTCTACCCAAAGCACGTACCATCTTGCGCGCGCCAAGAGAACTTTGCCAACTATTGGGCCCTTTCGACTGCACGGGAGCGAAACCCACGCCCTCCACCAGCCATCGACCATAGCGAGACCAAGTCATGCGATGCCAGTGAGGTTTTACATCTTTGCGCGCGCGAGGTTTTTCCCCCTCCGCGCGCACCATACGAAACATACGTGGAAATCATTGCCGAGTCTGGGCCAGTTATTCCAAAAGTCGGTGGCACCGACGAGTTCGGTGCTCGAGAATTGCCAGCAACGAAGCGCACAACTTCGAACGACGTGACCCCATTGCAAGAAAGTGCCAGAGCCGTCCGTCAGTCAGATAGTCAGATAGTCCATCCGTCCGTCCGTCAGACAGTCCGTCATGCACCTCATGTACTACCTCGGCGAAGACAACAAGCGCGTGTACACGCTCAAGGTCTGCGTCTTCCACTGACAGCGGTTTGTGCATTGCGCAGGTTTACTAACACTGGTAGTGAACACACTGCAATGAAACAGAAAGACACACCAGCCGGCGCCCCAACGTGCTCGGCACATCCGGCGCGCTTCTCGCCCGACGACAAGTTCTCAAAGCAGCGCATTACCACCAAGAAGCGCTTTGGGCTGCTGCCCACACAGTCGCCCGACCCGATCTTCACGTGAGGCTCGTCCCGTGTCTGCCAAACGGTTGAACCCGAAAAAGACTTAACACAAATGTAATAACAAGTCTCAATGACGATCGCAGACCGTTTTCCGTGTTCATTGTAGCAAACAGAGCGAGCGACTGACCACTATATCTCTCTATTGCATCCAACCTGTGGACAGATACATCGAGTGAGCGCTTTCGTCCTGCGATCACAGCGTTCGGCTTCTTCAGCACACTATCCGACTTCATACGCGACTCCTCACATGGAACTAATGTCCAGCAGTGAGGATGAGAGCACCGGATGCACTTCGCCCACGTTACCAGCGCACTGCGAGCGTCTGCAGTCTTCTACCAGTAACGACAGCCTGGAGGATGAGCTACTGAGCCCTTCGACGCGCATTCGGGCCAACCGCCGACGTCAAGCCGCTGCTGGAGCAAGCCAGAAGCCGGTGATCTCGGCGCGCGAGCTGCTCACGAGCTTCCGACCGCAGCAGCAGAAAAGTGGTGCGTCGCCTGCGCGAGAGCCGGCGATCGCTGCGTCTGCAGCTGCCTTCTCTATGGTCACGCCGAACAACTTCGTCGCTTCTTTCGCTGCCACTGAGAAGGAGGAACATACGCTGTCGGTTGGTGAACGCATAGCTCAAAAGTATGGCCTGGCGTCGATAGCGACGACGCCGCATGCTGAAGTGACCCGTTCTCGAGTCCGTTCTAGCTCAACGAGCTCGCATCCGTCTGCCTTTAGCTCTACAACGAGCGACAACCATGCGGCAGCAGGGAAAGAGACAATGCCTCAGATGGTGCATTCAGAAGGCATGACAAACGCAAGATCGCCCTGGGACGTTCCAACGGATGACTGCACGAAGAAACTGACAGCAGAGACAACCGACGTGTCTCGGTCCAGCAATTTATATGAGTACATGTGCATGAAGCAAAAACGACGACGTCGATTGCGACTGGAGGATGAGATGGACAGTAGCGCGGCGGAGTCTGCTCGTGGTGCTTATGGCAATCACGTGAAGGGTACGGTATGGGACGTTGGATCACGACCGCGTGATACCTATGGCTCTACGCTTCCTGATACTGATGACGGTATAGACAAACTGACGCCCGCCTCGAAGGAAGCTGTATCGAGCAGTGAGGCGATTTTCAGCAACGATGCTACAGCAGACGACGAGGTACACCGAATTCCTGTCCGACAAAGCGTTATTAGCAGTCGACAAATGAAGCGGGACAGCCGGAAGCTGTTAAACGTCGTATCGCGCCATCGGGCGCAAACAGTTCGAAGTGGCTTTAGCGAATGTGGCAAGGGGTATCGCACAATGGAGCGATGGCCGCAGCTTGAATTGTCGATGGTGCGTTATGTCCGCTAGTGAATGTTCTGTGAGCCGAGATGCTTACATATCCACGTGTGAATGCACTGTTTTTCTGAGCAGATCGATGCTGGTCCCATGATTCTCAGACCTTCGGAGGGTGACAGCCTCAAGACATTAGAAGTCTGCGCAAACATGAACAGTTACCTGTACGACTATCAGCGTGAAGGTGTTCACTTTCTCTACAGCGCTTACCAGCGGAACACCGGCGCAATTTTGGGCGACGATATGGGTCTTGGAAAGACGATCCAGGTCATTGCGTTCTTATCAGCAGTTCTTGGCAAGCGTGGCGATTATCGCGACAAAGACGCCTGGATGGCGCTGCTGCATCAGCGCCGAGAGCGGTTCAATGACAGTTGTTGTATGACTTATCCCGAAGGCTTGGGCTTTCGATTTGCTGGCGAAACTGCGCCGATTTTGATTGCAATGCCTGCGACTTTGCTCGACAACTGGGAGCAGGAGCTACGTACTTGGATGAGCTGCGCTACTATCATCTTGCGGGGAAGATTGAGTGACCGTGACATTATGATCGATCAGATTGCTAGGTGGGTTGTAGATGTTTGTGGTGTTATCGATACGCTTTTGCTATATGTAACTGGGTGATGTCCGTGTCGCATTGGCAGGGGTGAATACGAGATTGTCATTTGCAGCTACGATATTCTGAAGATGCACTCGAGTCGGTTGTACAAAATCCCGTGGGAGACAGTCATTTTGGATGAGATGCACTGCTTGAAGAATCCCGAGTCTCAACTGACGAAGGCTGTCAAATCGATTCCGTGTCGCAAGAAAGTCGGACTTACTGGCACATTGATGCAAAATAATGAGAAGGAGCTTCACTGCTTGATTGACACAATCGCTCCGGGAGCCATTGGACCTTGGATGGAGTTTAGTATGTATTACGGAAATGATATCAAATATGGTAGGAAAAAGTCTGCTGCTCTTGAAGCCGTTGAACGAAGTCGTCACAAAGAGATGGAGTTGCGCAGAAAGCTGCGGCCGTACTACCTCCGACGAGAGAAAGAGATCAACCCGATCTTCCAAGATGTCAAAAAGAATGACCAAGTGGTATTTTGTGACCTTACCCCACTGCAAGTAGCAGCATATCGACGGGTGTTGGCGATGCCCGAGTTTCAGCTTCTCCAACGCGGCGAGCAGAAATGCGACTGTGGTCGGGATAGCAGCGAGAAACGAAAAAAGTGCTGCTACAAAACCCCTAACGATGCCGGCGATGCCCCGGGATTGCTGTACGAGCGCTTTCACGACAATGAACCGTGCAACAATTGCCCGAATTGCATGTGTCTTCCATGTGTGGCGATGCTGTTGAAACTGTCGAATCATTTGGAGCTGTTGAAGGTCAATCCGCGTGACGGATTGGAGACACAGCAGTACCAAGCTGCATTTGCAAGGGCAGCTTTCGGTAGCGACCTTGATGCTGTCGGAGGTGTCAATCAGGTGTCAAGTTTCCAAGAAATGTGCTCTCTATCGACGAAGACATGCGGGAAGATGATCGTATTAGAGAAACTGCTGGCGGTGTGGAAAAAACGTCGAGAACGTACGCTAATCTTTAGTCGAAGTACTCGAATGCTGGACATCATTCAACAGTTCTTAATTGCAAAGGCGACACGGTATAGTCGACTGGACGGAAAGACAAAAGGGGAGGAGCGTTTGCAAATGGTGAATGAATTTAACGATCGTGACAGCAACACTTCTGTGTTTTTGATCAGCACGAGGGCTGGAGGCGTGGGTCTAAACCTGCAAAGTGCGACGAATGTCGTAATATTTGACCCCAGCTGGAATCCGGCACACGACTGCCAGGCTCAGGATCGAGCGTATCGGATCGGCCAAACTAAAGATGTGCAGGTTTACAGACTTATCACCCTCGGGACAATCGAAGAGATGATTTACGTTCGGCAAATTTATAAGCAGCAGCTGAGCGACACGACTTTGAAGGGTGCCAGCGCACCACGCTACTTTGAGGGTGTTCAAGGGAATCCACGTCAGCGGGGGGAGCTTTTCGGTATAGCAAACTTGATTGGTTGGAAACCAGATGGTGTGCTGAAGGGAATCCAAGACGCATACCAGCGGAGTCATGACGGCTTGATAGTGCAGCAGAACCGAGTTCGGTATGACGCTGTGCCCGTGCGGAAGTCGACGAGAAAGTTGAGTACAAAGATTCGGCCGGCCACCGTGGGGAATGACGAAAGTGAGATCATTGAGGTAGCCGACGAGCTGGTATCGGCGATGATGATACCAGAGGACTCACGTGCAACAGCTTCTGCCAAAGGAGCGTCTGCAGCTGTCATTAGCGATAGTTGCGGTGAGGACATGGACGCGCTATTCAGCAAAATTACACGTTTCCGCCACGAAGAGATTGTTCGTAAGCCAGAAGATAAGCACGACGATGAGGCTGAGAATGTTCAGCAAAGTGGAAGTGTGGATGAAATCATGGATTTTAGGTCAGAGCCAGATGCACCATTTTCATGCAGACATTCTCTTGCGAAGAAAGTGAATAACCAGCAGATATCGCCGTCCTCTCCGTCGTCAACTAGTATGTCGCATGGGGGCGTTGTATCATGTGCGAAAAATGCAAAACATCGCGACGGCGACCCAGCTATTAATAAGAAGCCGCATCGAACATTGTATGTACCAGCATACTTGTAGCGAAACGCAAGTTACCGCGACTCGAGATCGTAGCATGCTACGCGAGCAACTTGGCGCGTGCACGATAGCGACGTTGTACTGGAATCTCCCCGGTCTCCAGTGCTTTATCGTTTCAATTGGTTCATCTTTCGTGCTCACACGTTGACAATAACGTGACGATCGTAGCAGGTTTGATACTATGGCGAGGCCGAAGAGTCTTAACTTAGGCTTCGCAGCGCAACGCTTAAAAAGTGTGTGGTACGACGATAAGCTGATTGCCAGCAGTTTGCGATGACGAGCTCTATTGGCCTGCGCGTGAATGTGTTCCTCCTAACTTAACGAGCAATGGTGCTGATGAAACGGTGAGTTGCAAGCACACGCACAAACTAATGTCGGTAGAGCGCGCATCCACTCAACGTCAAGAATGTCTGCTGCCCGTTCGTTAATCGTGTGGAACTAGCGTACTGCTATCCACGTACACCTTCCATTGCAAATTCTCTACCATTTCTCAGCAACTGCACTGCTCTGTAGCTTTATCCTTTGGAGGTGGTGCGGCTGTCAACTTAATATCAATCACTGTACGAACACATCAACAAGCAGAAAAAACACAGTCAGTCACGGGCACGAAAAGCGCAACGTTATCATCGACCGACGAGCTCGACGCACAATTGGAGTCTCCACTAATCATGGTGTTCTCCATGCCAGGCAACACCGTCGCTAGTTTACGAAAGAGCGCCTTGATGTTGTAGCCAGCTTTGGCGCTCGTCTCGATGAACATGACGTCTTGCTCCTTCGCCTTATCGGAACCATCCTCGACGGACACTTGGCGTCGATCGGAGACATCCGTCTTGTTGCCAACAAGCATAATGACCACGTCCTGTCCACGCTCCGTGCGCACATCTTCGATCCACTTGCCTGTATTTAGAAACGACGCGCGGTCTACGGGCAACAAAAGTTTCAGCGTCAGTAGCGATGCCCAAGTGCGTCCAGCGGACCAACAGCCGAGCTCTCAAGCTCGTACTTGTAATGTCATAGACCACGACTGCCACTGAAGAGTCGCGGATGTAGCTTGGAATGAGACTTCGAAAGCGTCTGGAGATAGCACAGCAACAAATGGACGTATGAAACAGATGGGACGTCGTCGTTAGGGACGGCTCGGTCGAGTCTAGCGCGTCTCCCACTCACTCTTGTCCGGCCGTGTCCCAAAGCTGCAGTCGCACCGTACGGTCCTCCATGTACATGGTCTTGGACAGGAAGTCGATCCCGATGGTCGCCTGGTACGCGTTGTCGAACGTGTCGTACATGAAGCGTGTGATCATCGACGTCTTGCCCACGCCCTGATCTCCCAGAAACACGAGCTTGTACTTGGCCAGTGGTGCAATCTGCGGCACGTTGACGTTTGCGTCTCCCGCCGCGTCTGCGTCGGCATCACCGGCAAAAGAGGCGCCGACCTCAGCGACCGGTGCCGCGTCTTGCTCGCCCGCTGCTTCGGCCGTCGTCATTGTCGTCTGAAGTAGCGCAAACGCGCATCTACGCGAGTGTGCGCCACACCACAGACCTCTTATAACGCATAGCACTCGATCCGCAGCGGTTAAAGTAGCCGAAGCAAGGTCTGATGGAAGAGCGTCCTCGGCGCAGCCTCTCCCGTGCCACGCGGTCGACTGCAAAGCCGGCGAGACGCATGTGGTCTGCGTCCACACGTGCAGACGGATCGTCTGTAGATGAAGAAGAAGAGGAGGAGGTCGAGGAGGTCGAAGAAGAAGAAGAGGAGGAAGAAGAGGAAGAAGAAGAAGAGGAGGAGGAGGAAATCGAAGAGGAAGAGGACGAAGAGGAGCCGCCAGTGGACGAAGCAGACGAGGCGGAGCTGGACGCTATTGACTCTGCGTACCGCATCTCCGTCACATCCAGAGACTTCCACACGCTGGAGCAAGGGACGCTCGTAAGCATCCTCAAGACGCCCGACGTGGAGCAGCGCGTACCGCACACAGTGCAAAAAGTGGGCGTAGTAGAAGAGGTTCCACAGCACCCGAACACGTGGTTCAAGGTGCGGATACGGGACGGCGACGTGGTGTACAAGTACCGACCGTCAGCACTGGAAGTTGTCGAAGACGGGGACGAAATGGGTAGTCCACGTCATAGTTCTGTGAGGCACCGAGAGGAAGAAGACGAAGTGGACGACATCGAAGAGGGAGAGGAAGCGAAAGTGGAACATGAGAGCAAGAAGAAGAAGGAGAGGAAGAAGAAAGAAGACGAGCGGGTGATGCCAGGCATGCGCGTCCAATTAAAGTTAAGGACCCTGCACGGGGCCGAGAAACGGTATCTGAAGAACTACGACGGAAAGGAAGGAGTTGTGACGGGGCACGGCAAGACAGGCGTTGTGGTCCAACTGGATGCGGACGAGGACATTGCACTGACGCTGCGTCGAAAGCACCTGGTAGTGCTGCCAGACGAAGAAGACGAAGACGACGATGATGAAGAAGAAGACGAGCAAGACGAGGAGAAAGGAAACGAGGAAAAGCCGAAACAGGGTGCTGGGATGCAGAATAGGAGGCGGTCAAAGGGAAAGTTGCTGTCTGTTCTGGATCCGGACATGTGGATTGACCGCAAGTGCCGAATCAATGTCGGCAAGTTCAAGGGTCAACATGGTCGTGTGCTGCGGTCAGGAAATGGCTGGGTGCAGTTGAAGCTCGAGAATTCGAGTGAGAACACAGCCAAGCGTGCGTACGAGCTCACTTTGCTCGAGGACATGGAAACCATCAAGGTGCTGCATGCCAAAACTCTTGAAAAGGAAAAAAAGCGCCGTGCGGAAAATAGGGCAAACCGGATCAATTATCGAGGCGACAATAGAGCCGTGGATGACGATGACGACGATACCAACAACAGCGGATTCGATGACGTGCTAACAGCGGAACAAACGGAGGACTCTCAAGGCGACGAGGACGGCGGGGAACGCTTACGTCGCGTGTCAACTCGCGGTAGCTACGGGATCTCGTGGATCGCAAAGAAGGTAAACCTGCCGAACCGCAAGGGCTTTGGCATTGTGAAAAAGGCGGATCGCGATACGTGTACGGTCGAGATCCAAACAACAAAGGTGCTTCAAGTGTTCAAGAAGAAAGATTTACAACTTGCTAATGACAGCCTCCCCAAGACTGCTCGTCAGAACAGTCGCAATCGCAATAATGCCAAAGCCCGCGAGAAACTTGGGCTCGGTGATGATGCTGTTCTCATGGGTACGACGCCTTCACGCTACATTGCGTTCCAAGACGTTGTGAAGCGATTCGCATTGCGTCGGCGCGAAAAGCTGAAGAAACGCCCAAATCTTAGCGAGTGGCAAGCGCGACTGGACTTGAATTACCTAGAAAATGGGATCTGGGACAAAAGCGACCTCTCAGTGGTTGACCTAGTCGTTGTCCCACAATGTGAGATATGTGGCGTGGAAAAAGAGGTACGATGCAGCACACGCTTGTCGTTTTGTGTTTGCTTGCTCTCTTACGTGTTTGATGTACTATTTCATTGTTGACGTATAGGAATCAGCGGGCAATTGTTGGAACATGAAGTGTCCAAGGTGCCCCGCCTTCGATGTGGACGCATTCGACCCTAAGGATGAAGATACTGTGATGCGCGTGCCTGTTGTACCATTTGTCAACGACAATGTTACTCGCGCAGCTGCTCCTTCGAAAGAAAGAGTTGTCACGAAAGCGAAAGCACGAATCCCTTGATACAGCTCAAGCGAAAACGACCGACAGCTATGAGGAGGAAATATTACGTCGAAACCCGGAAACGCGTTGAGACTTTTACCAAAGGTGAGAATGTAAGACTGCGGACCGCTGAAGAAGAAGCGCGTTTCGCGAATAAGTTGAGTACGAAAGATTGCGACAGTACCGAAAAGAAGCCGGGGTAGCGCTCTTGGTAGCATGGCTTTCTTGCCACCTCGATTGGGCTGCGAGATTGGGCAAATTTTCTAGCCAACACGTGCGTTGTATCCCGGTCGCGACAGCGTTTTTACACTGCAGCTCACTCATGGTGATGAGGTGGCTGTTGCGACTTTTGGTAGCCTGAGGGTCTACATAAATGCATGTCATGTGTATGTCCTGTTCTTGCAACTCTTGCTCAGCAAAGTGTTTGTACGAATAACTTCAACGTTGACCCCACCAACCATGTAACGTTCTGTAAAAGGGCATATTTGGTGGACATTCAGAGCTGGCACGAACGCCTTGCACATCTACTGGACTACAGGCCAGTTGGTCACTCTCTGACGGCGAGCGTCCTGGACTTTGCTGCCGCATCTCACAAGCTAAAAATGACGGATGGTCTCCGTGACATAACGCTCTCGTCGGAGCTTGGGCAGTGAAACACAACGAAAATCCGGTGAGTGAGGCGCCGTAACAAAAACATACAGGACACATGCGGCTGACGGCTCAGTGGTGGAGACGCAACAGCTCGGAATGCACAAGGGCTCACCACGCAAACGGAGATAGAAAGAAGTGATAGCTGGGGAATTGGTGCGTTTAGCTGAGTCTGGGGCCAGGACACGTCAGTGCTCGCGAGGCGAAGCGACAGTGGTAAGAAGACATTACGGAAGAATAGTAGTTTAATGCTGATCCTGAGACTTGCTGCCGATGGTGACAAAGTCTCGGACACGTAATAGACAACTGGAAGAGTACGAGAGCCAGAATGTGCACACGACACCGCCAAGACATCATTTTTCTGGCATGCTGAGCAGGATCAAGTCCAGTTGCGACGGAGGCTAGACTGAAGTGACCTATTCAGGAAGTGTCGCTGCTTCACGCTTATGTTGTTACGAAGCAATCGCCAAGGCTTCGGGAGTATCGATGTTGGGAAGGTTTTTTCGCTGGTCGTGCCTGTCAAACACTTTGCTATCGTATAGTGTTTGGGAGCGGCATCTCTAAGCTTGTCAATCAAGTGCAGACACCATCTTTCGGACAATTCTTCCTCGTAGGTTGATGAAACCGGATCGAAACATCAAGCGCGTCTTCCGTTGCCTTGAGCATCTCGCTGCTCACAAGATAAGAGTAGTGCCAAAGTGTACACTTTGAGAACGGGTTATGCATGTCACGGCACTTGTTGCAAACGACGAGCTGTAAAATTGCCTTTGAGATCCCAGGCATATGGCCCAAATGATAGTTTTTGTTCTGTGCTACAAGTCGCTATCGTTCGATAACGCCGCTACAGATTCCATTCGTGACAGAAAGCTTGACGTCTTATCAACAGGTCAATGTTGACTGATCGATTTGGCATCACCGTGTCGCAATGGCTGTCGGACGTGACCGCAACAAAGATGGCGTATCGTCAGCCTGCATGGTTCAGACCGTGTACAATGCTATTGCTTTACTTGCTCTTAGCTGCACACTCGCACGCCAAGGGCAACAACGGGTGACAGTCGTTGCTTGTACACTACAAACGCGTTGGCAGAGTTTTACTATCTGGTACGGCTGATACATATTCTCTATTTGCCAATTTATGCGCAAGTTGTGGCATATTCCGTTGCGTATACAGTGACAACACGAATATACGTTGCCAGAAACGAACTACCTTAACCTGTTTCGACTGGACCTTAGCGACGTCGACCGAATGGTTGACCTCGTTGACCCCCCCTCGTCATAGAGTAGAGTGCCTATGCTATGACGAGGTCATGTGAATGAGATCAAGCGGGTAGATCGGCTTGCCTGATGCGACATGGTTAAAATAAGTGACAGGCTCCGATCCACGAAGCGGCAGAGAGGCAACTTGATCCACGCGACACCACGCGGCTCCAGCACTTTCGTAGTCAGGAATCGACTTGGGCAGTTGGTCGCAGTCCAAAGGCTCAGCGTAGAAGATGAAGCGCATTCGAACGTACGGAGTACGATTGCGGTCTTGTTTCGGGTGGTACTCGAGCTTGAGCAGTCCCGTGAGACGAATGTCAATGCCGGCCTCTTCTTTCGTCTCGCGGATTGCCGCCTGTGCCGGGTTCTCGCCACTGTCGATCCGCCCGCCCGGCAACCAAAAGCCCGAGTTGGCAAATTCTTGCACCAACAAGAAGCTGTTGTGCTTTCTGTTGTGACACACGACGAGTGCGAACGAGTACAGCGTACTATCGGCCATGTGGAATTCACTCGCCATCTCGTGTCGTCCTGGGGGGCCATGGGCGTTGTGCATATGCACTTGGAAAGGCCCGCGGATCGTTTCTCGGCAAATAGGGCAAGTCACTCCGTCCGTATTTTTCTCGTTGATATGGTACAATGGACAGTGTCGCCAGAGCTGATCTTCGTTCAGCCCCGTCTTACTGCAGAATGGACACGTGAACCCGTCGCGCCCACCCGACCTGCCCCTGCTGCTTCGTCTCGTGTGCGCATCACCGCTCGCATTGTCCCCACAAGAGGCCACGAACGACAGGACGTCGCGCACAGCGTCGAGCGAGTCTGTGACCATCGACGCTCCTTCTTGGAAACACTGATACCGACCCATGGGGTGCTCTGCTAGCTGCGGACTGAAGACACAGAGAAAGATCTGCTTGCTGATGGCGCGAACCATGCGAAGGAGAGCGTAGAGGCGGCGCTCCGAGAGGCCCGCAGCGCGGAACAGAATGGCGTCAAAGGGGTTAACTGCAGCGGGTCCGTACGACGTAGTGTCGGTGCCACGCGTGGTCAGCGCCTGGTGGGAGACCGCGCGCCGGTCGTTGCTGGCGCTGGAGCGCGGCATGAGGTGCTGCCTGACATCAGCTTCGTCGTGGACAGCTATCTCCGTGATGAACCCCCGCGCTTGACAGCACTCGACACATGCACTATCCAGACAGTCGAGCGGCACGTCGTGGCCCGACACGTTGCGGATCACTAGCGCGCGCTTCATCGTCGCGTTTGGACCACGGAAAACCGGTGCGAACTACCGGTATGTGGCTCGGTGCTGAAGGTGTGTACTGGAAACCAGATGTATACACACACTTCCGCCGGCTAGCGATAGGTCCGCTGTTCGAACATCGCGAGATGTCAGACCCAGGCAGAACAACTATTGCTTGTGATTTATAGCGCGAGTGGAACACACACACGAAACGCCGTGCTATGACGTACAGTATAATTGACGAAACAATACTAGCGCCATGACTTTTCTTTGCTTTTTCCACTGCGACCACTCTTTCTGATGACTTCATTCATTCCAAAGGTGCCTGGTTGACCGGAACACAGGATAGAGGGTCAAGCTTTGAAGCTTGTCTCTTGGTATGAGAATATAAATCAGCCCGAAAAACGACTTTAGGTGTCTTTTTGTCTACGGACGTCTTTCGGACGGCACGAGTTGGCAATTGTAGGATGGGGTGTGCTTTGCAAGGTGATAACCGCAATGCTGCTGTGAAGGCGATGTGATGAAGCTTCTAGCTGGTGTGGCTGAGTGATGACTAGATTGACGAAAAAAAAGACGACAACTGATGTTGTGCAACAACATGAAAAACACGAAAGCGGACATGATGCGAATTGGTAAGAGAAAAAGAAAGTTATAGGGCTCTCTCTGACGCCGAGAATGAAAGATGGTCATTTCTTATCGTTTCGATACAGGGACTTCAGAAAATGTAATGTCGCGTGTGACGAACGAGGTAAAGCTTTTTCGGACCAAGTCCGTTCCATGTGTGTTGGACATCTAATTTTATTGACATTGAGTAAAATATCAATATTATTGATATTGAAGCGAACAGTATTCAATTATACCATCTTAAATCTGAACATTGAGGTAGTACTACCTCTGACAATCATGTCGATTCTAAATAGAAAAGAGTATACAGCAGTCGACGATTTTCGACTCCTTTTGGCTGATACACGCCATGATATCAGTCCACAAGCTTACCAATCGATCATCGATGCGCGCAATGAGTGATGGACAACTCATAAGCACCAATATTTGCAGTCTGATGCGGTCAAGGTAAGGTTCGGATGGATTTATGATGAAGACCGGATAATATTCACAATAAATGTGTAATGGGTCGAGCCCGACCCATGATATTGACACCAGTTCATGTCGATGGGAGTGTTATCGTATGTTTCAACATTACCTGTCATGTAATGTTCCGCAACTTCTCCTGATAGGTGGACTTGGACTATTACATCAGCCAGCAAAACGACCAATAATATTGGACGCGTGCAATGGGTGATGGGCACAAGCTACATTTCATGTTTCATCATATGCATATATATATATATATATATATATATTATGGGTACAGTTAGCAAAAGTCGGACATCTTTATGCTGACGAGATTAAATATCTTGAAAGACAGGTCGTTTCTATTTACGTATTGTGATCATCATTTGTATCGATTTCTTCGAACTCTTGTGTACGTGATGCATGAGGCACCTGCCAACGCTGTGTCCATAATGGTATCTTTTATTATCTCCTAAAACGTGTTATCCCCCGTCACATGGTACAAGTCCTAGTTTTGTTCACCCAATCTGTTTTTGTTTTGTTGGCGCACATTTCCTGCGCACAGGTAGGTGTACGTGAAGTCCAAGCGCACATATCTGTGCTTTGTCAGCTCACATGCAGGCCTCTAATTTGTTTTCAGTCGAAGTGTAAGATGCCCCATTACACCTGATAGCACTGCGTCGTCCGTTCGACAACCACGAGTACATTCTCTGGTTGACCCAGGTTATGCTACAGCGCCACCGCGTCACTGTTATAGGCTCCTGTCATTGCGTAACGCCTAACCGCAGGCGTTCAGGGAATGGATGGTACGTAATGCAGCATATTATGTAACGGGGTTACACGTCGACTGGTAGTCTACAACAGTTGTGGTGCACACAAAGGGTAAGATCTAATTTAAACTGATATTAGAACACAGTATCAATTGTTGAAGACTGATGTCTGTCAACCCATGATTACGGGATATTTTGAGAGGTTTTATTCAGGACATTAGTTACTAGGTTAAGTACGTTGTTCTAAGGAGTTATTTTAGGTTAAAAGAAATAAAGTTCAGGTGCCATTTTGATCCGAAAGACACGTGCCTCTCTGAGGCGTCTTGTGATTATTTGAGGAGGTAGCAACGTCTTGTTAAGGCAGCTACCCCTCGTGCACTCTCTTCGTTGATTCTCTGAATCGTTTGGTCCCCCTGGAATAGGGACCGTAAGCTCTTTGAGCTTGTTGAATCGTTGAGTCGGGTTCGTAGAACCAAAGTTGATCGTAGAGCGTTAAGTCTTCCTCTGACTTAAGGAGCTGTGTAGCTCCGCTACACTTGGTAGCACTTGTAGTCAATCAACGTCTGAGTTGGTAACGACTGATTCTCTGTGAGGATGGCACATCTCTCTCTGAGACCTAAAGGGTTGCGCTTGATAAGCTGACCGCGGCCGTAGGCCCTGAGTATGTGTAGTTTCTAGCTGCACAAGGTCCCGATGTGCTCAATGCACGAGTCGAGACCTTCATGCAGTATAAAATGGCCCTGTTAGGGCATGTTTAGAACCAAGCCGCGTCGGCTATGCCAACACGCTACGTGGCAATGCCACCAGAAGAGGCCAAGCCTCGTCCCCTTCGGGTGGACGTTGAACATTTCTCCGGGAAGGAGGGGGGAATCTCACCCTGTGGATCCGTGAGATTGAGATGGCCATGAGATCTGGCCTTATCTCACTCGTAAACTAGAGGCTCTCGCTGGCGATCCCAAAGCTCGATGGGGAAGCTAGTGAGTGGGCTCTAACGTGTGGCACGTCGGTTGAATTCGCATTACCCACATGTGATTTGCTCAAGATAGACCTCTTGCGACTTTTTCGCCACCTAACCAGGCATACCGCGAACGATCACGCTTCTTGTCTACCCGTCAGGGTAAGAATCACTTAATGGACTATGTCCAAGAGTTGAGAACTTTAATGGCTGCTATGCAGTCTGAACCTTTCGATGAGACAGTTTGTGCGACTGTCTTTATGGAAGGTCTTCACGCTGGCGTTGCCAGAACCGAGGTCTCTCGGGTTCATCCCTCTACTTTTGAGGAAGCTGTGAGCATCGCTCAAAATGCTGAGCACAACCTCAAGTCGGCCAGACTTATTTGGAATGGGTACAACCCAAGCTTTTGTGAGGGCAACCTCCACAAACACCTCGGCTTACTGTAATCCAGAACCGATGGATCTCAGCTATGCTGAAGATCAAGGTGAAGTGGAGCTTCATGTTGCAGAGCAACGACATGACGTGAGACGCTGTTACATGTGCGGAAGCACTAAATACTTGCGTCCCACCTGTCCTTTGCGCAAACAGCTCCAGACTCCTATGAGTCAAAACCACAGCCCCAACCAGAAGTCTGGTATGGCGCGGGGAAACGTCGATACCCAGTAGGCGCGAGGCGCCCTACTGGGGTAGAACTAGGTTCTGTTGCTTCTCTACCAGGTAGAGCAAATCAGGGCTTAGCCCCAAAGAGCTCTGTGCCCATCAGCACAGAGCGTGGATACAAGCCTGGCTTGTTAGTCTTTGATGCGACGGTGAGAGACTTTGAGAAGCAGTGGTCAATTTTAATCGATTCAGACGCATCATGCAATTATGCTCGACGTCGTTCTCTTAAGGGAGTTCAGCGATACGATAAAGTGCTCAAAGCGCATGAAGGTGATCAGATCACCGTTCATTTAGCGACTGGTAGTCGCGTCACGGTGCTTAAAGCTCCGTTGAACTTGGTTGTGAAGTTTTTGGACTTTGAAAGCATTGAACGCTGTCTTGTCCTCAATTTGGATTCGACACATCATCTCATCCTAGGTATGGCTTGTATTGAACGCCATGAGCTATGGATTGATTGGGGGTCTACGACCTATAGCGTAACGCGCATTGTTCCTAGTGAAGTTGGGAGAGTCATGAATCCAATTTTGATAGGGATCAGAAGCACTATTGGCGCGAGCCATTGACAGAAGATGTCAGCATTCTAGACATTGGCATGTCAGAGTTAGTTAACTCTATTGTCAATGACATGAAAATTGAGTGGAGCTCTTTCACCATATGTAAAGAGGGTCGTACTCCGATGGGTGATACTCGTTGTGATAATGAGTCACTGCATGCTACAGGAATGGTTGGCCTTGGGCCGAGACATCAAGAATGTAATTCCTCTGATGTGAGTGGGGTGGCACGTGAAATTCCACCGAGTGAGGGCGGCCGAGGTGGCACCTCATTGAATGCCGGTAATGACATTGTTGGCGAGAAGCCAGAGTGTTCAGGGCTAGGCCCGGATGATGTACGTGAAGTAGTACGTGTAGATCCACTGGATGAAGTGTTCGAGTTACGTAACTCTTCACCAGATGTCGTTCAAGACATGAGATCTCGTATAGAGCGTGCTAAAAAGATATATATCAACCCCAGGGATCTTACTGTACCGGCCTCTAGGAGGCGTAAGGTTTCTTTGAGGAAACAATCCCAGCGCAGGGTGGCAACTGTTAAGCGCCCAACGTCTAAGAAGTCACGAAGTGATAATAGTAATAAAACACTATATACACTTGTCAATGGGTTGACTGGCCAGATTGATGGCAATATTGGTCTTGAGACTCTTCCATCCTTGGACACTCTCTTTGACCTAGACGAGATGTCTGACGGCGAATTTAGCCAAGCCTTACAGGCAGGAGAATTATCCGAGTTAGTGGTCATTCGGCAGGATATTGAGTTGAGCACATCCTCGTTATTAAACGAGTCTTTCCTTGAGGACACAAAGGCGCCATTGGATGCCCGTAGTGGATCTTCGATCCTTTAGGATCCTCTTGATACGTTCTATCCTTTGGTAAAGGAGTTTCAGGACGTGGTATGTCACGACCCACCGTCCGTCTTACCTCCCGATAGAGGTATTCGTCATGAAATTGACTTAATTACTTGAATTAAATAATGCGTAACACGGCAGTGGATTTACCTAAGGA